AAAAGATTGCATATTTTTTAAAATCTCTTCACGATTTCCTTGTGCATTTGCGTGTGACACAAAAAGGATTATATACTTGCGTTTATGATTTATTTTTCGTGTATGTGTAGTGTAATTTATTAATTAAAAAAAAAAAAATCGTGTACTCAAGACTAAAACTCTTTGTAATTTGTAATTGAATATTACGTGTGGATTTTGAAGTCAAGATTAAGTGTACTTAATTCGCGTGTGTGCGCGTTCGCACTTCCGGAACAGAATCCGAAGCGACGTTTCGCGTGAACGGGGGCGATACATCTTGTCCTCCTTCCTCTCGCTCACTTATTTCATTTTTTTTCGCGCGTTTTATCCGTTTTTTGAACATTATAGAAAAATTTGTCTAGAAAAATCGGTCTCGGTCCTCGTCCAAGTACTCGCTCGCTCAAGTATTGGAACACGACGCTACTCTCTATATATAATATATATTTATATGTATATAATATATGTATATATCAATATATATATATAATTTTTTAGTTATCAATTGATTTAGGTGAATTGGTACCTAGGTAAGTTTCGCTACACAATTATATCGATCGATTAGTGGAGCGTGTGTACGTGTCTTGTATTATGTATATGCTTTCTACGTCTGTGTGTGTGTGTGTGTGTGTGTTGTGACCGCGTACGAGCGCCCTCGATCTCGCGTGTTCGCGAAAAGTGTGTGGGATTAAGAAAATTTTTCGCCTAATATATATTGCGCCGGTTCGTGCTTTTGTGGTTCGCACACGAATAAGCACCGGCGTGCCTTCTCATATACATATATATGTATATATATATATAAATTTGTCCGCGATAAATACACGCGATATGCCCCATCGCGGCCCGCGTTTCAATTTCTTTACTCTTCGCATGTGCCGCACAGATTATATGCCGCTATCTCTCTCTCTCTCTTTCACTCGCACCCTTTCTCTCCCACTCATTCTTTCCATCTCTTTCTCTCTCCCTTTTTTCTTATTTCCGGTCTCTTCCTCTCTCTCTCTCGCTCTCTCTCTCTCTTTCATACAATTTACGAGAACGATGACTCGTATGTAAAATTGCACTAACTAACTGCTCGCATTCTTCATTTCTCATCATCGTGTTCTTCGCTCCCTTTCCCCAAACTCGCGTCCTCTTTCTCTAAGTCTCCCTCGTGTGATCTCCGTTTTCGCATTGATTCGAACTTTCGTCGAGTGCGTAAGAAAAAGGTTTCAAATGTGTCTATTTAGAATATTGCGATAGTAACGGATAGAAAAATTCAATATTGTATTCGCTCTATATCAACTAATTTATATGTGTACAATTATATACCCCCTAATGCGGTTGCCCCTTTTTTGCCCCCAAGTCGCAGTCGAGAGGTCCTCCACTTTCTACTCTATCCTTCGAGTTTCTTTCTTCCGCGTTGTTTCGCCTCAACAGATCGACGACTTCCGTCTCTGCCAATGTTTAATATCCTTCCTCTTTTGCGTTCCTCATTGTTTTATTGGGTTTTCTCCTTTTTACTACACGCGACTCCTGTCGAGCGCACGTCTTCGCGGGTCGAATAACGTGTATTTTTTATTTTTTTATTTTTTAAATTTGTTTTAGAAGAAGGGACGGAGGGTCGTCGTTGAACGCGGCCGCCTCTCACTAGTTTTCTCGCACCATTCATCTTTATATATGATAACGCGGTTTTCTCTCCCGCGCGCGCGCGGTGTTCTAATAAACGCCGCCTATAATCTCTAACACGGCGAGATTATATACAAAAAGGAGTACCAAAAAATAAATATATGTGTATATATAGATGTGGAAATTACACTTCTGTTTTTTTGTCCCTTTCTCGTTAGATTCGCACGCGACGTCGCGATTCGTGATCCGTTGGTCGCCTGTTTGTCGTGTATATGTGTGTGTGTGTGTGTGCGCCTTGTCGTGTGTGTATGCGTGTCTGTATATCGTGGATTGCACAAAGTCCGATACGTGTGCAGAAGAAGAGTATCGCGAGAGAGACTCGTCATGCGAGGTTAAAACTACGTCTTCCGACTGCTGCTGATGCTGCTACGTACAGAATGTGGCTTTATTTTTGTCATCTACGAAGCGGAACACACAACGTTTGCATACTAATCCCGAAGCACAACGCTTCCCGGCCCTCGACCTTTCACCGTCCCGAGAAAAAGCGATACCGTCGACCGAATGACCCGGCTATTGTCGAAAGTACTGCGTGAGACATGCTTTTTTACACAACAAAAGAGTCACTCGAAGGTGTCCAACATCCAGTATCTAAGTGCCAAACGTTCCATTTTCTCTATTGCTTAGTTATCAAAAGTATCTTAACGTTATGTACCAAAGATATCTTACATTTTCGATTCTAATGGCATCGAATCGGTTCGGGAAGCTGTATTTCGCGGATAAAACGAGTCGAAAAATCCCAACGATTAAATCTGCCCGGGTCAACTGTCGAATTCGGTGAAGAAGGATCGCGCGTCGGGAAACGTTGGACTTAAAATTACGGAGATCCTCCGATTTGCCCCATCCGTGAGACTCCTTATATCGAAACCTTGGAGAACAGAATCTGCGATAAACGGCGTCTCGGTTGAGGTGCGAGAGCTTTCCTCGTTCTCTAACATTCTCCCTCGTCAATTTGAACTACGGCGATTGCGTTTGATTATATACACCCAGCGAAGAAGTTCGTTTACTTTAAAAGGGATTAAGAAACGTGCACACTCGCGGTCGCGATTAATAAACGCCAGTTAATTGATTAATCTTGGTTAAAAGAGGGGGTTCGGTATGTATGTACAGGGAGCGACAACATACGGGCTCTATATAATATACGAATCTATTAAATAGTGTTCCACGCGAAACGCGACCCTTCAAGACGCGCCGCGACACTTTCCAATCATCTATCGGACGTATGAAGAGAATAATTAGGTACGATCATTCTAGATATATCGCTGCTTCAATTTTCCACCTATGCAAATCACGATTTTTTTATATATCGCTTTGGTTTCTTTTTTTTTTTTTCGAGAAAACGATATCCCTTCCCTCCCTCCCTCCACCCTAGAAAAGATCCGCTGCTCGTTTCCTGAGAAAAAGGAACATATGGGTTCCTATACGTGGATATTCGATACGTTCCACTTATTATCGAACGTTGTCGGAGAATCGCGCACGCGTTTCGTGGATATTCGCGTTTGTCGATCGTCTCTCGTGAATATCGTGCGGAGAGTGATCGTTTATTGCACATAAAGTAGTAAAGTCAGAGTGTAAAATTTGTCCTAAACACTCTCGCGCACTTTGTTCCTCTTTCTCCGCGAACGAGTAACGGATCAATTTCTTTTTTTTCTTTCCATCTGTTCCTGACTCTCTCTCTCTCTCTCTCTTTTGCGCGCGCGAGGATCGCTTCATTTCCCGCGAAGGGCTCATTAAGGTCGCTCGCACCGGTTTTTTGGGAAAATATTGGCAGAGAATCCGATACGACTAGACTAGGCTAGACAGACCCGGACAACACCCGAAGCACGCACGCGCGCGCGCATCAAAAATTGAACTACTTCCACAGGTTTCAACGATTTCCGTTTACAACCCTTCTTCCGTCTTCATCTAAGTGACACATTTTTTTTCTTCCCCCTAAACCCTCGTTTTCCCCGTCGTTTATGTTTCTTTTTCGCATGTTTTTTCCTCTACACTACTCTCTCTCTCTCTCTTTCTCTCTCTTTCTCGCTCTCTCTCTCTTTCTTTCTCACTTGAATAAGTTAATTAGTAAAAAATCATTTTCTTAAGTGCCTCCCTACGTGCGCGCGGTTACGTTTATCCGCACGAGAAACGCATTACACAACGCATCTATGTAACATATTTTTAATAAGTTCTTAATAACTAGAGGAGACTGTGTGTGTGTGAGATACAGAGAATTACCTAATACACAGCAGTTTGAAGCGTGGCTTTTTTCATTATCGATTAACATCCAATACGAACGGTTCGGCCTCTCTCGGTGTCGTCTCTATCCTCTCCCTATCATTCTCTTCCGCGTTTTCTCTACCGCCGCTCATATCGGTTTCCGATATCTCGCGCTTGTTTCTCTCTCTCTCTCTCTCTCTCTCTCTCTCTCTCTCTCTCTCTCTCTCTCTCTCTCTCTCTTTCGCTCTTTTTCAAACTCTCACTCTCATTTTCTCTTCCCTTTTTCTCTTGCTCGTTCACTCTGGCATACATGTTCGCATCAGATCAGGTATTCACAATTCTTACGATACATTCATCACGCAAACATTACTAGTTTTCTCTGGAACATTCGCCGAGAAATTACTCGCCTGTGTCCACTCGGGGAGCCAAAAATTCCGCTAACCTGGGTGAACGATACAGGCAAGGAACTCCTCCGTTTTTCTCTCTCGAGATGCGGCAGTCGAACCCGGAAGAGACGATCCGCGGCGGATCGAGACGCGCGAGGCGGATCCGAATCGCAATCACGCTGCTGGCACGATTTCGATAAATACTCGAGGAGGATCGACCGACGATCGGTGCCGATGGCGAGGGCGGCGGCCCTCCCTTACTCGCTAATTCGCTCCTCGAGAGACTCGCGGTAACTAAGATACTCGATCTCTCAGACAGAACCGGTGCATTTTACAGCGCAGACAGATAGGATTATACGTGTACGAGTAGTAATTGATATACTGAGAATCCGTGTCCGTTCCTTTTCTGAATCCTGTGTGTCTCGGCGTATATATCTCTTCTTCTTTTTCTTCCAGCTCGACGATGTCGGCTCGGCGTGGTTCCGATCGTTCTCTCTCACTCTCTTTGTTCCGACTGTCTTCCGCCGAATGTCCGACAAAGTTTGATCCGACGATATGACACCGGTGCGGTCGTTCACGTCAGCGAGTCATTGCGGATGTGAGATCAAAGGTCGGAGCGACGCCGAAAGCCCGCATCGACTGGCGGGCAGCAGCGGCTGGTTTCTTCCTCCAGTATAACCGGTATAACTTGAAGTAGTAGCGCAGTGGAGTAGTAGTAATAGTAGTAATTTGTAGTAGAATAATAGTTGTGGTAGTAGTAGTAAGTAGTAGTAGTAGTAGTAGTAGTAGTAATAGTAGTAGTAGTAGTAGTAGTAATAGTGGTAGTAGAATAGAGTAGTGGTAGTACGTGACGATCGAGTGGTAATAGCGTAAGTAGTAATAGCGGTTTTGAGGCTGTGTTCCTTGTAGGTAAATAAGTAAGTAATGAAAGAAGGGCAGGGGGCGGGGGAGGTGAGGGTTGGTTGGGGCACGTGAGGGAGGGTGGGGAATATTGGTAGAAGTGGTAGTTAATTAGCTAGGGCTGCGAGATAATTAGGGACAACGCAGCTGGGGTTAACACCAGCGGAAAGGCACGGCCCGAGGCCGATCCGCGCCTTCCTTCACCAGCGGCTTGTGGAACTCCCGACCTGGGCGGGAGTGAATAGTTGCCCAGCAATGCTCGCAATAGTACTGCAAACGGAAAATATTATAAATTCAACAGTTTGTATTTTTTTTTCTCTATTAATATAATGGAACTTTTTTATTAATTTAATAAAATATTTGTAATTAGAAAAACTTCTTTAATATTTATGTAAAAATCTTAAAATTGTAGCCTTGCGTTAATCTAACATTTGAATCACACTTTTATTTCTCTCACAGCTTCTCTTTTGCTATTTAATAGTAACGGTGATGAGTTGCGCGTTATAAAACGATCAGTTAAATATACCTGTAGGCAGGTGACATTGGCGCAGAAAAACGGTGCAAATTTGCCTCCGCAGCGCTGGCCTTGACACTCGTCACACATTTGATCGTCTAGAACGTACGGTTTGACTTCGACCTGTTTGAAAAAATTGCGATTAGTGAAAGAGTGTGAACAAAAAAAGCTCTTGTAAAATTTGTAAAAAGTCATCGGACACTTTATATATAAAAAAAAAAAAATCAAACAAAAAAATCACTCACTTTTTTCTTCCAATCGCGTGCTCTCATCGCACTTATGATCTTATCCACCTTCTCTTACAAAAAAAAATATAAAAAATAAAATATGAAATATAAAAAAATAGAAAATAAATAAAAATATAAGAATAAAGAAAACCAGTAACAAAATTTTTCCGTGTCTGTACCCTTTTGTCAATGTCGCCGTGCTGCAGCTGTACGAATCTGGCCGAGATGGCAGCTATGTAGCTTTGCTGATTACTGAAAGCGACTCGGCCGGCTCCTTTGGGATACTTGAGCTCGGGATCGGTATCGATACCGGCGTAGCAGACACCGCCGTAAAGCCGATCCATGATCATGGCAAGTTCCACGGCCTTGAGAGGTCGCGGTACCCCGCCAACGAAGACCGTCTTTCGCGGATCCAGCGGCATGGAGGCGTCCAGCACAAAATCGGCGTCGCTAAGTCGCCATGGTCGTATCTGCACAGGCTTATCCTTGATCGTGGGCGAGCTCACACACAGATAAAGCTTGTCCTCGTCCTGGATGCAGGCGTCTATCAACTGCTGCACCGAGCCCTCGTCCTGAAATTACCGGGTGACAACATCGTATGAATTGCGAATAAATCTTTTATAACGAACTTGCAACACTTTAATACATGTCCGTAACATACCTGGAAAAGCAGGAACGCGTAGCCCTTCGGTGGGAAGTAGGATTTGCTTTCTGCCTTGTGTGGCCAGTCTACGACCAACGGACCAAAGCGACGGAAACTGGCTGTGATTTCATCTGTCACGTCAAAAAAAATACATTATACATGTAATCTCATCTACACGATAAGGGTTCTTCCAGCATACTCACATATATATGACGATCAACGTACCTTCGTCGATGTCAGGCGGTAGTCCGCCGACGAAGACTTTCCTGGAGAAACGTTCGCCAGTTTCACTGCCCTGACTGTGTGGACTGCTTCGACTCGGCGATGATAGAGGCGCCGCTTGGGACGCCGTTATGCCGCCGCCTACGCCTACGCCAACTCCGACGCCTACTCCGACGCCGTCCAGCTGACTCGGCGCATTCGGATCTTCTAGCAAGGTACCGCTTTGCTCCTCGAGACTCGGGAAGAACGGGGATTTGCCTGGAAAGAAAAAAGATTTCCACGATGAGCGATCTTGGTCTCTGGCAAAACAGTGCTTGAAGAAGCACGTAAATCTCCTTAATAGGAGATTAACGGAAAGAGAAAAAAACAGGATGATGTGCCAGAAGAAATAAATACGAGATTTTATACGATGCGATATGCACGATAAATTTAAATTACGTGCGCGATTCGAGTGACATGCGTGAAACGAAAGATCGTTATAAATCGTCCGCGGAAATCAAGGTCCGGATCTGACATTCATTCCCCCCGTCCGGATGTTTCATTATGCAATTGTGCGGAATCACGTAATAAGCTGCGAGAGAATCACGTGTTATGTACGAGAGCGATGGTAGCCATTTTCGACATAACATTAATTTTTTTTTTTTTGAAACCGGAAGTTTTGACGTTGCACAGTTGAAATACAGCCTCGTAAAAGCATAAATAATGCTGTTTACGTAATCTTTTCGTATCTAGGCTCGCCAAGAAAAAGGAAAGATTTCTTTAAAATATCGCACGAATAAATCACTTCATGTTTCGGGGATATTACATTATAAATATTTATAATATCAATCTCAGGAGATTAGTCTTCGGTCGACTGATCCCGCGGAGATTCTCTTAAAACTGAGAGATTCGAGATGTCACAACAATAATAAATAAATTAAAAATACAATTAAAAATTAAATAAATAAAAATGCAAAAGATAATAAAAATAGGATACAAACTAAATTTAAAAATACAAAATAATTAAAAAATTACATTATGTGTTCACATATTTCAAAATGATTTTTGACCAAAACTCAAACTTGCATATCGACAAAAATGTTTTCAAGTATTAACTATTTTAGACGATATTAAAGCTATTAGAAGAAATACTTCCCTAATTTACCTCGTTTCAAAAACTTTACGTAATGCGTAATTGTATATGCACGGTGTATTACGTGTAATATTCTTTAAATTGTCAAATTACAGTTAAATATAATTATCAAATTATATGGATTTTTCATAAAGAGAGAAAAGAGGGAAGGACTTTGAAAATTGAGCGCCTCGGGGTCGAAAAAGAGAGACCGACATCGTAAATATCGGTAATTTGACGGCAACTTGCGCGCGCGTCCATTTCGGAGCAGGATGATCTCTCGCGTGCACTCTCGCAGATGCACGTGGAACGCAACGCGGCGCACACGGAAGATCGCGCGGCCCCCGGTCATTAATTATTCGCGCGGATAATCGGCGGATAGTCGACAAACGTGAAAGAGAGCAGATCGCCGGGAACTCGATATAATTCAGCGAGAAGGATCGCGGAAAGGAAAGTCGCCCTCATCGATCATCGGCGACTAGAAGAGGAAGAGGAAGAAGGGAGGAGAAGGTAGGCAATAAAAAAACATAACGGACTCACTGTATCTCCTCCTGATGGGAAATCTCGCTCTCCTTATAAACGTCGCCATCGACCCGCGCGCGATAATCGAGATCGCGAGCCGATATATTCGCGTATATATGCACCAGTCCTGTCTGTCTCGGAGGCGCTGTTTGTTTCTCTCGTCGTCGTCAGGGAAGAGAGAGAGAGAAAAAAAAAGGACAAACAGTAAACAGAGCGCAACGCACACATGAATGACACGACGTCGTCGCGTGAAGACGTCGCCGGTCCCGACAAGGACAAGCGAACTGCGTCGTCGTCACGCTCATCTTTTTCCGTTTCCGCACTGCTCCGAGATCGCGAGCGCATCTAATCGGAAACATAAATGTGAAAAACCCACCCCTGAATATTTTGCATACCTATATCGCTTCGACGAGAAACGTGACCTCGGTTTTTTTTTTTTTTTTTTTTTTTTTTTTATTACGAGTACACGGAGAGAATTTTCTTTTTTAGAGTTTACCCCAAAAATCATGGTAATCATGGTGAAAAATCTAATAAAAAATATTCATAGTTACATGTTACATAGTAAATTTTACTATGTATGTACATACATACATGGTAAAAATAATCGAACGTATTTTATATCTTATGAGATAGATATTAATATTTTTTAGTGTAGTAAATATTAATCAGAAAAACTCTTACAAAAGTCTTCCAACACCAAATTGTTCCACGATTACCATGTTTTTCGATGTAAATTTTAAGAGAAAATTATCTCTGTGTAGCGATAGTAATATCGTCTATCACACACATGCCTACATGAGCTGATAATTATTTCAGATATAAGTAGATAAACATGAAATACGAATACAGGTCGATAATATACAGAGTATTTCAAGTCGAGTGTGATACGTCTCGTGGGATTGAAAGAAAAGGGAAGAAAATTACGGGACCCTTACCGTAAATATATCGGTCGAAGTTAATCGAGCGTTAATTGATATTTATGGGAACAGAGGGGAAAAACACAGGCCGAGATTGTTTAGAGCACAGGCGGAAACATTCTTGTACACGCAGCCTGGTAACAATCAATCAATATTTTTTTTTTTTACGTCGATGTTTAACGCGCCGTGAGCTCGAAATTATCGTCGCTTTATTGCGGCATGAATTCAACTTTCGTATGCAAGAGACAGAGTGAGGAGTTACGTAAGAATCGATACATTCGCGGGCGTGTGCAATTTACACCCGTAATTTCAGGTGTAAGACACTTGAGACACGAGCGATCGGATCCGCGCTGTTTTAATACATCGTATTCATGCATCTTAAATGCGTTTGCATAAGAATTTATGGTGCTATTTTACGACTGTATGTGCCTACAGAATTTTATTGTTCTATAGTCGCGTATCTTTTGCGCATCGTTTATAAGAACGATTAGTTGTAGTAGAAAAAATTTCGTTCCTCTTTATATTAGAACATTTTCATATATTTATTTATTTATTCTCCTATTTTTCTAGTTGTTTATAAATCAATGAAAACGGATTTGTGTTACTCTATCGCGACGTGCTGAGGGATTTGTACGTTTGAAACGCTGCAGAAAGCTAAATTTATATTTAAACTAAATTAATAATTCCCAGTAATTATCCTCTTTTATCTCGCTCGTTATCTCGATTTATTAATGCCACGTTTCCAGTACATTGCAACTACTGCTAATTCTTTCGTGAACGATATTTTATGCCATGTGTCTTGATATACCGGCAGCACGGTGCTTTCGACTCTGTATCTTACATACATTAGCATAAATAACACTCAGCGAGCGCATCTATAATTTACCATTGAATCGATAACACGTAAATGAACTTTACGAACTCGTGCGTGCGAAAGTGAATAAATGCGCTCGAAAATATCTAACAGCGATTCTACTGATATTTTAGAAATCCAACAGCACTCCCCGTGCAATTAATCTATATATTCTGATTTACGCCACGAGTAGAACGCGATACAAAATATCAGGCATAAATTGCCTCGGTGCTTCCCTCATCAATTCTCGATAATTCTTGTTTTAGCGATTAGTTTCAGGGTGTCCAGCAGACTCAATGAAAAAATTCTCTGACTTTTTCAGATTTTCCAAGACCAGAAATTAATCTTTTCCTTGAATTTTTAGTATTTTTTCCAAATATATAATTTGCATGTATCTATATAACAAATCAGTTGAATGTTAAATCATGAAATCCTTGAGATATTTTTTTGTGAACAATGAAAAAGTTCGGAAGTTAAAAAAAACAAAAATTTAAATCAACTATACAATCGGCATTATGTACGATAATCGAAACAAACATGTCACTATAAACTATTTAAATAATTACCTTTTTTTTTATTTATATATCAAATTTTTTAGTTTTAGCTCTATTAAAAACACATTGAAATAAAATAACACAACGATGAAAATATAAATTAACGAACACGCTGTAGATGAATCGATTTTGAACACAGAAAATTAGCGTTGCTGGGAGTGAAGGAAAAGTTGATATATATTTAATAAAAAATTGCAAATTATTGAGACAAATGTAGAACAACGTGAGAAAATCCCTAATGTGAAAAATGGACAAGATTCCAGATTTATAAAATCCCCTGACAATGCCTGGTTTTCCAGATTTCCCTGATCGCTAGACCCTGGATAATTCCTGTTTTAGCGACCAGTTTCAATTTAGCCGTTCGATTCTAGGAATATCCGTTTGCATAAAATATTACTCGTCGACCTTTTCGGCAACCGTGACACGTTGCTTTTGTTACGACGAATATATGTATACATATTGAAGCGTTTCGAAATTCTTCCTTTGATTTCGCGATTTCGCCGCCTGTAAAGGAAACTCCATTCGGACCATGATATCTGGGTCAATCGTTCTGGCGCTTCGATGGCAGTTTTAAGAGAGCGAGGCGCACTCGTGGCGAAATTAAAGTATAACAGCGCAAAAATATATCGCTCGAATTCGCGGAAATATTGAAATCGAGTATTAAACATACGTAGAATCAATATTCGACGTTATTTGCCGGACCTTATTATTATTGTCGGAAATAATATGTATTTCGATATCTGCGATTATTTTGCAGTATATAAATAGATACACGTAACATATATTACGTCGGATATTAAGCTTTTGATACTCGCTCTCTTACTTAAATTTCAAACGATTTCGCAATACAATATTATACTTTCACGATATTATTGGTTGTTGCAGCCTTTCATGTTTCGCCAAAATGTAAAATCGAGATATGTAACCGGCATCGCATCTGCTTCGAATACACATACGATATGTCTGCATTTATGTGGTATATAAATGTATCTCAGATCGAAAAAATATATTAAAAACTCGATGTAAATTTATACAATATGTGGAGTATCTCATCAGGTTAGGAAAAATATTTTAGGAACCGAGACAAAATTAGTGCGACATTTTTGCAAAATGTAGACTGAAATGTAGGACTGACACCTTTTCAATATTACATAGCCTCGTAACGAAGATTGACAAGAACGAAGATAAAAAAAAGAGAGGTGATTTGGAGTAAATTTAAATCGAATAACACAGTTTCTCGGGTTAGCACGTATCTAAAAATTGCCTAGGATCTAGAAGAAGAAAAATATCGGATGAAAGCG